GATAATTCTTGAGTTGGTTTCAAGAACAAAGGGTAAACTGCAGTGTAATGTACTGTTGTTGGGTTTGTAAATGTCAACTCGTGAGTTGAGTTTTGTTGTGGGGAATGTTGGAGAGTTTTTCAACAATAGCTGGTGGGAATTTATTGGTGTGAATAAAGGAATGCTTTATGTGGTTAATTTCTTCATTTATGTAGTCCGTTGAACAGTCGTGTGGCTGTGTTTATGAGGTTTTTTAAGTGTATTGATTTTTTGTATGGTGTCATGAGCGGAATTCCAGGGAATGTAGAGGCCAGTGTGTGTGTTCTTGCGGTGAATTTTGGTTTTAAACTGTGTGTCCGATCTAATAATTTTGAGGTTAAGAAAATATAACTGTTTATTATTTTCATGTTCTAAATGGTAAATTTGATGTTGGGATGAATAGAATTTATGTGTTTAAGGAAAGTTAGTGTGTGTTCTGTGAAGTGAAACCAGCAAAAGTATTGATCAACATATCTGTACCAGTATAGTGGGGGATGAAGCACAGAATGTATGGCTTATGTTTTTCGATCTGGGTCATAAATATATTTGGCAAGAACGGGCTAAACAGGATTGCCCATACTTAAACCATCTATTTGAAGGAAATATTTCTGTAATTACAGGAAACTAATTATGAATAACTGTTAATGTCTTATGTTCCCCAATGAGGCTTAGGATGTCTAGAATAAACAGTTCATAAAAAGGGCACAACAAAATTTTCTACTTTGTTATTATTTGTTCACGTATTGTATGAAAATTTGAGATTGAAAGTTCAAAAAGTAATTATATTTGTTTTGACACTACATATTTATCACCTTAACACGTTCTTTTTCTCGATTTCTCAAGCTAATTTGTCTATCTACATATTTTTGTGAATGGCATGAGAAAGTGGTATTTTTTCTAAAACTGAAGTTGCTATTTTGTTCTTAGTCTAACCCCACTGTTTAAAACTATAATAAATAAATAAATATATATATATATATATATATATTAATGTTCAATGTTGAAGATTGTTTTAAAATTTAATGCTTAGTTCAATAATGCTAATTTAAATTGGTTTATGACTATACAAACTTAAGGAATTCAAATTTGATGACGAGGAACCCACTTTGAGACTAATAATGCTTGGAGACGGCTTGAATAGGTAATGAAGAAAAACTTTAATATAAGTAAGTTTAACATCCGGTACAAAACCTTGTCAAAACGTTGTACATTTGCTGTTATGTTAAACTTAT